TTTGCCTTTAAAGTAACAAGAGCCCCCGGCTCCCTGTTCCAGGTAATACTTTACAAATAGTTTGGTACAGTTCAGTGTAACTCTTAGTTTATACCTGGAAAGCAGAAGTAGGAGAAATTCTGTAGGAGACAGTTTTCCCTCTATCAGTAATGAACATTGAACAGAATGAATGTTTCATTGCTGGGTTACAGGGAAGCTGTGCTGCTTGAGATGCCTTATTTCCAATGTGATGGAAAACTGAGCAGCTGACTTTTTGTCATCACTGAAGAGCACGTGGGTGGCAGTCTCAGTGTTTTGGCCAAACTCTAGTTCAGATAACATTCTCTCTGCCTCAATTCTCCCCGCAGAATTCAATTTGATGTGGTATTTCACTTCCCTCGTTAATTTGTGTTGTGCACAACTGAATTCCCACATATTAGTGGTGACTGCGGTTCAGTGTTAGCAGCATTGATCCTGTAGGTTACACGGGGTCAGTTTATTTGGAGGGCACTTTGGGGTCCATCAAGGTGAAAAGCTCTCTGTTTCTTTACCTTTTGTTTGTTTGTTTGTTTATTATCATTATATTATCAGTTTTATCATTTTAGAGTAGTTGAGTTTCCTAGGGCCAGTGAAAGGATAATTAAAAGGGCTTAGTCTCTAATATTGTTATATCTTTTTGTTTGTACTCTTACTAAAACAAACATCATAAGTCTCTAAAAATACACTTAGAAATCTAACCCTCTTTTCTTACATGGTGGCATTTCTAAAGCATTTATTACAGTACCCTACTTTTGTGACTGCAGCAGGCTATTACTCCTTTAGCCAGGCCCAGGAGCCAGCCTTCTCCCCTTTCCTACCTCAAACTAAACAAAATAACAAATCATCCACCACCCCCCTCCTCCTTCCCACCTCTCCTATCCAGGGCAAGGGCTTCACCACAGTGCTTTAGTGTTGCCCTTCCCTTTCTCCCTAGTGCAGTGGTGGGCAATTATTTTGGCTGGTGGGCCACATAATGTGTTTTGGTGAGCTGTCAAGGGCTGCACACGCAAAATATTTTGAAGATAGATATAATTTTAACAAGTAGATAAAAAAAACCCAACAAATTGTATACTAAAAATCAAATATCTACTATAACATATTTTAATTTTATTATAAAATATTTTTGTCCTAACACATTGTTTTGAGTAGCATATATAGAGGCAATTGCATAATATCTCGAACTAATGTCTTACTCTTGTATATGGTGTGTGTGGGTGGGCATGGGTGTGTTGTGGGGGCTATGGGTGTGTATATGTGTGTGTGTGGGGCGGGGGGTGCATGTGTTGAGGGGGCCTGTGCTTGGAGGGGACAAGTGGGAGGGGGTGCACACAGCAGAGCTTGCCCATTTAGTGCAGCTGGTGGATGCAAGGGGAGCCAAGCAATACCCTGGCAGCCGCAGCCACATGGGGAGCAGCCCTGCTGGGAAGCTGTGCACATTGTCCAGGGCTGGGGCA